TAGCTGGTTTACATGCGCATCGACACATTTGATTACTCTCTCCATTCCTTGAAATGTAGCTTGCTGCATTACAATCGCGACGGAGTAAGATTTTCTTTTCTTCGTCGGTGGTTGTGCTGACTCTGCCTGTGTATTTGCGGATGAAACTTCCTTTGGAACATTTTCATTTTCCTTGTGCGTTACCAGAATAGCTTTCGCACCGTAGGCGGAGGTGAAGCTAACGAATATGTTTGCGAATGAGATAGGATTTACTTTGGTTTGCTGCTTTCGCTTAGGTACGTGCTTATGAGTCCCATATTCTCTTGAAATTGTTTCCACGTGTTCGAATCGAAGTTGATTCCTTCTGCGTAATTGCCAGTCAATTTGACGATAGGTTCGAAGATTCCCTCCTTCGTTGATTGTAATCCCACGTGTAATTTCTTCGTATGAGAAGAGTTGAGTGGGTACGTCGTAGAAAGTAACAAATATTGTTGCATATTTCGTTCGGTAATATTGTTTATCACACGCGGATTAACGGACACTGAAACTATGAGCAGTCTCTGCGCTTATATATGCTTTTTGAAAATTAATGAAAACCTGCGTGCGCATAAAGTTTGTTTAAATTTCCCCTTCCCTAGAAGAAACTAGAAATACTACGACGTTATGACGTAGTTACTTTTTAGGAAAGAATTTTCTCGAAGTTATAAAACGAAATATTTCATGTTCGAATACGTAAAAATTGAATATATATTGTCAAGAATATTCGTTTATAAAGAAGCAATAAATTAAAAAATTTTTCGAGATAAAGGAAAATATTCTGACACTAGATTTATAAAAATTTTATGGTTAATAAATTATAGAAATATTTCTCGCAGTCACTAAGGGTACGTATGAAAAAATAGAAGTTTAACTGTCCAAAGCCAATTTATGATTTAAATAAATTCGTTTTCTAAGAAAATAGAAACATTTTCACTAAAGAAAAATTATTCAGTATCTATCGTAAAACTCTTTTTCAGAATAAATGAAAATAAGTCTTAGTTATACAATATTGAACAAGAAAAAACATTTAGAGAAAGATATGTTTGCAGGGTGCACGATTTTTCTTTCTTACAACGAAAAGTATAAGAAAGGAAAACTAACAAAAATTCAAGCGATTTATGAATTTTCTTTATTGAATATTTTATTTTTTGTGCTTGTCATAAAATTATAGTACGTGAGAATCCTTTCAGTTAAAAAGCGTGGCGAAAATGTTAAATTAGATATACGATAGGTTAACCTAAGGATAAGAATACCATAGAGTGACAAAAACTTTTCTAAACTAATAACGTGGATCAGAGCAAAGGGTTACTTTTAGGAAAGAATTTTCTCAAAGTTACAAAACGGAAATATTTCAATGTTCGAACGTGCCATAAATATGTTCGAACTCGTAAAAATTGAATATATTGTCAAGAATATTCATTTATAAAGAAGCAATAAATTAAAAAAATTTTTCGAGATAAAGGAAAATATTCTGACACTTGATTTACAAAAATTTTCCAAAGGTAAGTGATGGTGGAGAGATGCTTTCAAAATGATCACACAAAAAAAGGATTCGTCAAAGCTCTAAAATATGATGGATGTAACTAAAAAAAGTTTTTATCGACTTTCACTCTGTGAATTTTTCGAGAAAATCTTTTCATGTAAAAGGAAGGAAACTGGAAGGAATTGATCGGTAAAATTGTCAAAATTTACTAGTCGATGACGTAACCAGAAATTTTCACCGATTCTGCCTTTTGGGAGGGGGAATTTTTTTGAATATTATTGGTGTATAAATAGTGCGTAGTGAGAAAGTTAAGGGCTATTTCTACGTCGAGACTCTGTCAAGAGTTGTTTTGCGCTAGAAATTTTAAAGTATCGAAGTTTCGTTAACAGTAAAAATGGCGCTTCGCGAATTACTTACGAAATTAGGATTTCGCGGGGAGGTGCTCCAGTACATTACTTTGTATTATGTACAAGTTGGGGCATTGTGGCGGTGATGTGAGATTGAGGAATATTATCTCGGGACATTTGGAAGTGCGTGACTTCTATGACCACGAAGAAGATGATGTCGGAGGCTACATAGCCGACTTCAAGCGACACGTTGCAGTAAGAGGTAAGCAGTAATATAATTTTTAAAAATCAAATATAAAATTTCACTAAAAATTTGTTTCATTAAATTCTAATATTTTCATAGAACCAAACTGTATTGTAGGACGTGCGATTCCACATCGTCGGGGACGTCCGGTAAGTCGTCTCAGTTTGAGACGACGACGACCTGCTGCAGAAGCGCTCGATGAAGTCGTACCAGCACGTAAGTTGGAAAACAATAAAAATTAATTAGAAATAAAATTAAAAATTAAATTGTGTATTTCTTCTATTAAAATATCAAATTTTCCAGGAAGAGCACGAATCGAGGCCGTACAGGATATTCCGCGTAACGAGCGGAACATACCCGTGATCACATTATCACCCGGTAAGTCGAATTTTTAAAACATACCTCCCTATAACATCAGTTTTTGTGTGATTAGAAATATAATATTAATGAAAAAATATAATTTTTGTTTTAGATGTGATGATTCGCAGGAAATCGCAGCTTTTCGTGTGCCCAGTCCAGCTGAAGAAGAAGAATATCACGATATTTCGCCACGAGGTAAGTTTTAAATAGTTGGCAAAAAAATCCCATAGCAAGTTTATACAATATAATATATAATAACGAAATGTTACTTTACAGTACGTGAAAATGAAGAAGAGAGTGAAGAAGAAGAAGAACAAGAACAGGAGGAGGAGGAGGAGGAGGAGGAGGAGGAGAATAACAGTGATATCTCCGAAAACAGAGATAGCTCTGAGATAGAGGAAGAAGAAGAAGAAGAAGAAGAACAGACTCAAGAAGCGGTTGAGCGGGGAGAAGACAATACTGAGAGTGAGGAGGAGGAGGAGGAAGATGCTAGAGACTACCCCATTGATGTTGAAGGTAATAATATTCTATACTTAATCTTTTAATTTATTTTCACCGTGATGTATTTTCATATATGAACTTTTTATTAGATATTTCATACACGCCGGTGTCGAGTGGATCGAATCATTAGAAATAATATTCGAAAGTCGCGTGACTGAATAAAGCAACTAAAGGTGAGTTGCCTTAGTATGCTAAATATAGTCGCTATATCGGGGGTGTGATAAAAGGTCTGTTCGCGATGTTTTCAATTTTCACACACTCAATATCTTCACTTTTTTTCTCTTCATCATCCGGTTACACATTTAAAAATAAATAAAATTTTCTAACGTCGTTGTAGTTATAAAATTTTGGAATTTCAAGCATCGCAATCAGTCCTAATATTCTAATATAATTTATTCTATTTATATCGAAATATATATAACAAAATTTTTTAATCTTTCAGTACAAACTGGTGGTGGTGGTGGTGGTGATGGTGGTAGCAGCAGTGCCAACGTTGTTTCGGCAAATGAGAGGGAGGAAAATCCTGTAAACAACGTGGAGCAGCATCACCAGCAGCAGCCTCATCAACACCGGCAACATCAACATCAACAACAGCAGCATCAGCGACACGAGGTTGGCGATAATTTTAATTTCGTAGATTTACGGACGGAAAACTCGCGACGTTATAGAAATTTCGGCATGCTCGGGAGAGAGGCTAGTTTCGTGATACGACCAATACCCGAAGGTGAGGATACCGTTCGCTGGCTAGAAAACGCGTTCCGTGAAATCTACGCGTATGCGATACGTTCGTGCGAACCGGGCGATTACGTGGGTTTATCGTTCGATTCACCGAATTTAACGCATGGTCCAGCAGGACTATCGTTTTGTCCGGTGCGTGGCTTAACTTCCGAGGACATATGGCAACTCGTGAGTTCAGTAGCTCAAAGTGCCGGAGGGCTCGATATCGCGGAAAATTTCGACGTACGCGTTTTTAACGTTGCGGCACTTGCGGGACGTGGTGGTAGAGCAAATCGACTAACATGCGAAGACGTAGCAAAACGCTCGATTTTGCAATTAAATAATTCTGATAATTTGTGTTTTCCACGTTCCTTCGTAGTAGCACGAGCACATTGTGAACGAGGAAATCTACGTATGGGTGAACTCCATGAAAAATGGAATTGCATAAGACGACAGAGCTTCTCGTTACAATCCGAATTAGCGAAAGAACTAACAAGGAACGCTGGCGTCACAATTCCCGAGCAGGGATGCGGTATGCGTGAAATCGAGCGTTTTCAACGTTACCTCGCTGCCGAAAATATAGCAATTATTGTGTTCAATTTTAGTACTTTCGGGCGCGGTGAGAATCCGGTATATGACGGTTGCACGTTACTTGACTCTCTAGGACGCGAACCGAGTATTAAACTGCATATAATGTACTATGAACGTAAGCGTCATTTCAACCCGATATTAAACGTAAAAGCCGCTGCTGGTTCTCGCGGGGGATATTGCGTCGTGTGCAATATGGGCTATCGTAAAGATAGAGGTCACCGTTGTACTAAAAAATGCCCACGTTGCCACGCGATTCCGTCGTGCGAATCCCCCGACGCGCAGCTAATTAAGTGCCAATCGTGCAATCGTGCGTTTTTCGGTACCACGTGTTTCGAACGTCATCGCACGGAAAGATCTTACAACGATCAATCCCCCGCAAGCGTTTGCGAATCGGTTAAAATTTGTAACAGCGATTCGTAAAGTTAAATTCAAAACACGAATGCGAAATATCCTATTGTAGAACATGTCGATCGCTTCAGCCTTCGAATTATTCCTGCTTCATGCGACCTCTTCGATGTAAAGTCGTTACTGAGAATCCGGGTGAGGGTACGAGTAGTGCGACGATACAGGAAGACGTGACACATGCAAGTGAGAATGAGCCC